CACGGTTATGCTCCGCCCACTTTGAGTTTTCCTTTTGGACACGCGACGCACGACCGCGACGCGCCCGGAAAACCCAAAGTGGGCGGAGCATTGCCGTGTTTAGGCTCATTTTGAAGCTCTTGACTTGCTAAATTCAAATTTTGACATTTTTTCAGACAAAAACGTGTAGATTTTTCGAAAATCCATTTTTCAAAAATGCTCAAAATCCAAAAATGTGTGACTTTGCTCAAAACTTAAATTTTTGAAATTTTTAAACTTTTCATAACTCCCTGATCCTGAGTTTTTCCTAAATCTATGCCTCGGATGTCTGCGGTCATTTTATTAGTACTAAAATTTATAATAGACGACAAGAAGAGAGAGGCTTGTCTTATTATCTTTATATCCTTTTCCTCTTCTTGCTCTCCGATTGCTAATCCTTGGAAACTTGTCCGCTTTCGTTATTATTATTATTATGATCCATTCGGAAAAGGGAAAACATGAGCAATTTGGACTCAAATTACACCTCGTCGAGATATAATAGATCTCAAGACACAAATAAAGGGGCGAAAGCTAGAGATCGGAGGGCTAAAAATTTCTTAAAACTTCATTTAAACAATTTGAAACCTTAAAATTTGAATTTCCCATCAAATTCTCGTCATTTTGAGCCCAAAATCGACTATTTTGGGTGATTTTGAAGGGAATTTCACTTTTGGCTCAGTTGGTAATCATTCTGGCCAGTGAAAAAAATGTCCACGGGTTCGATTCCCTCTGGGGTCAAAACGTTTTTTTTCTTTTTTCAAGATTTTCTGGGATTTTAACTGACTCCGATTTTCAAAGTTTTCGAAATATTCCAAAAAAAATTTTCAAAATTTTCCGAAGTAGAATTTCAAGCTTTGCAACCTGAAATTTTGAATTTACTGTCAAATTCCCATCATTTTAAGCCCAACATTGTCTTCTTTAGACGATACTTAAAGGAAATTGCCTTTTTGGCGCAGCTGGTAAACGCTCTGGCCAGTGAAAAATAGTTCACGGGTTCGAACCCCGCCGGGGCCAAAATGTTTTTCTTCTTTTTTTAGAGTGTTTTAAGACTGTTTAAATGATTTTGGAGTTCGATTTTCAGAATTTTCGAAATTTTCAAAAAACATTATTTTTTCAAAATGTTCCGAAACTGAATTTCAAGCTTTGCAACCAAAAAATTCGAATTCCCCATCAAATTCCCGTCATTTTGAACCCGAAACCGTACATTTTAGACGACTTTTAAAGAAAATGGCATTTTTGGCGCAGTTGGTAACGCTCTGGCCAGTGGAAAAAAGGTCCTGGGGTTCGAACCCAACAGGGGTCAAAATGTTTTTTCTTCTTTTTTAGAGTGTTTTAAGACTGTTTAAATGATTTTGGGGTCCGATTTTCAAAATTTTTCAAAATTCCAAAAAAAAATTTTTCAAAAATTCCCAAATTTTGCAGCTCTCGAATGCGAATACGATGGCGGGTCTTCAGCGAATCTCCTCAAGTCCCAAAATCACGACAAATGGGTCCGAACGAAGTGAAAATTGTGGAGAGCTGTGTGTAGTTTGTGGTGATAAGGCGTCTGGAAGACACTACGGTGCCGTCTCGTGCGAGGGATGCAAAGGATTCTTTAAACGATCGATCCGCAAGAGGGTGAGTCAGGTATTTATTGATTTTTTGGGAAAAAAGTTGGGGGGAAATCGGCTGAAAATGCGCCAAAATTGACTGATTAGAGTTTTTGAAATTTTCAAATTGCTCTAAAACCAACCTAGACTTTATTTTAGCGCATGTTTAATAAATTTTTTGGCATTTTCAGCTAAAATTAGGTCTAAAAAGAATAATTTTCAAAAAGAAATATTTTCAAATTTTTGAAAAAATCCCAAACAAAAAATTTCAGATTGGCTATGTTTGCCGGAGCTCCAAAGACTGCCCAGTCACAAAATTCCACCGTAATCGATGCCAATACTGTAGACTACGAAAATGTTTGTTAATGGGAATGAGAAGTGAATGTGAGTTTCAAAATTCAAGTTTTTTTCTGGAACATTTGGAAAAAAAAACGTTGGGTCCCATGACAAAAACTACCGTAGCTCTGCTGATTTTGATGCAAACTCGATATTTTTTAGAGTTTTGAGTTTGCCGTGTCATGAGCTTCAAAATGAGTATAAACACGACTAGGCTTCGCCCACTTTCTTTTTTCCCGCGCGTCGCGGTCGTGCGTCGCGTGTCTAGGTGAAATTTCAAAGTGGGCAGAGCCTAGCCGTGTTTAGGCTTATTTTAAAGCGCTAATCATGACAAATCTATCTTTTTCAGTTTCAACAGCCAATCATCATTTTCTAGGCGGTTAGGTCCAAGTTAGATTTGGTGAAAATGGGTGCATTTCAGGTCTGGTGCTTTTAGACCATGAAACCCAAAGAAATCTAGCCGTGTTTAGGCTCATTTTGAAGCTCTTGAAACGCTGAATTCAAAAATATTTTCAAATTTACAGCTGTGCAAGCCGAACGTCGTCCAGTGGTCGCCAACAACAACCAACAAGATAGTCCGCCACAGAACCAAAACACCACCCCACGGGCGATGACTCCACTGAACGCCGGCCTAGTTGGTGGCCTATTGGCCTTGGCAAAAATGGAACAAGAGAATAAGATGATTGATTCAACACAACAACAACACACAATGATAAAGCCCGGAAGTCCGATGAGCAATGGAAATTGTACGCCTCCAGAGTTTATGGACATCAAGAGAGAGTCGATTGGAGAGGACGAGTCGGGTCTCGACGCGATGACCGTAATCGGGCTGGTGCCACCGTCTGCGTCTCCAACGTCTTCTGGAGTAGGGTCTTCTTCGTCGATTTCCGATGATTCCGGACCGATTTATAATATGGAAAGGAGCAGATTCGATATCTCACCTCCGGTGTCTTGGAATCCACAGAATGCGAACCAACAGTGTATTTCGGAGATCACCACACGGTTATTGTTCCTATCAGTTCATTTTGTCAAGGATTCAAGGGTCACTATACGGTAAGCTTCAGCTTTTTCCTGTTTTTGAGGTTCTGAATTTTGTTTTTGGGGTCTGGTACCGTTTAAAAATGGTTTTTGACTTTGGAAACATAGATTTTTGAGTTTCCCGTGTTAAGAGCTTCAAAATGAGTCTAAACACGACTAGGTTGCGCCCACTTTGATTTTTCCGGCGCGTCGCGGTCGTGCGTCGCGTGTCTAGGTGAAATTTCAAAGTAGGCGAAGTCTAGTCGTGTTTGGGCTCATTTTGAAGCGCTAAACTTGGCAAACACATTGGAATGGGATTAAACAACAAAATTGCGAATAAATTTTGAAAAAATTCGAAATTCCGAAAATTGCACCCATGGTTAAGAGTCCTAATGGCCTCGAAACCTCTTTTTAGTGGTCTAGCAATCCAAATTCATTTTTGGAAATTATGTTTTTCAAATTTCGCAAGCTATGAGCTTTGAAACAACCCTAAACACAACTAAAATCGGACCATTATTGAATTTTTGAGAATAAGAAAATCACAAAATTGTAAACTACTGTAGCTTGTCTGAAAGCTGATATTGCTGAAAAACTCATACAGTTTTGGATTTGTCTACTTGAGAGCTTCAAAATGAGCCTAAACACAAGTAGGCTCCGCCCACGTTGGGTTTCCCCGTTTGAACACGCGACGCACGACCGCGACGCACTCGAAAAATCAAAGTGGGCGTAGCCTAGGCGTGTTTGAGCTCATTTTGAAGCGCTGAACAAGACAAACACAATAATAAAAAATTCATCAGCCCAAACGCAAAACCTAGACTGCCAGGTGCAAAAGTTCGGCCATCAAAAGTTTGACCAATCCTTTTGACTGCAATATCCTCTGAAATGGGCGGAGCCTAATCGTGTTTAGACTCATTTTAAAGCTCCTGACTTGCTGAACTCAATTATCTGCATCGATTCAAACAGAAATGTGTAAAGTTTCAGAAACATCACATCGGAACAACTGCTCAAATCGAAATGGTGTGACTTGTACATCATTGCTCTGATGCAAACAGCCGACAAAATAAATTTGCCTCAACTTCTGGAGACTCTGACACAACAACTGGCTCTGGGACTAGAATGCGGTCAATTTTCCCCCGAGAAATTCGAGAAGTTCCGAGAGCAAATGAATCGGATAATGCAATTATCCCATTTGTTTGCTGCAAGAGATATGAGCTCAGTGGAGTACGCTTATCTTAAAATGATCTCGTTTACAACACAAGGTTAGCTTTCTGAACTGATATATTTGATTCAGGTTTGATATGAGCTTCAAAATGAGCCTAATCATGACTAGGTTTGGTGAAAATGAAATTTTCGGGCTTTTCGGGGCCTGGTGGCCTGAAAATAGATTTTTAGGCCTGACAATTTAGAAATCTAGGTTTGACAAGTTAAGAGCTTCAAAATGAGCCTAAACACGACTATATTTGAATAAAAACTGTTTTTCGGCCCAATATGGCCTGAAACGGCCTGAAAATCAAAGTCGACCAAACCTAGTCGTGTTCAGGCTCATTTTAATGCTCGTAACTTGATAAATCTAAATTTGAATATTTTGAATCGTGAAAATCTTTTCCTGAGCCGTCAGAGCTCAAAAACTAGTTTTTTTCAAACGAATTTCTAAAATAGGCCATATCTCAGCCTGTTTTTACTCGATTTGGAGCAGGATTGGCTCAAAATGATTCTAGTTCTCTACGTCATTCATATTTTAAACTTTCTTCGACTTCCAGACATTCCAAATCTGCTCACAACGTCCGAAACGCAAAGTACGAACCAATTGGCATCGCAGGAGCTGTTCGAGTACGTGTCCTCATCGAAAAGCTCACTTCTCCATCATCAAATGTCAAATGAGCACATAAATGTCGACGATTCAACGTCTGAAGACAACGACACGCACGTTACGTCCCAACAGACGAATATGAATCTTGCCGCCGAGAGGTAATTATTGGTTAGAGGGGTCTGGAGAGGGTCCGCAGCCAAAAAATAGGCTCATTCTAGGTTTTAGATCGCTTTTTTGAAAGAATTGGGGGTTGTTCACAGAAAAAGCTCAAAAATTGACCTAAACACTTAAAAAATCCAAAATCTAGGAACAAAAACAAAATAGAACAACTCTTACAATAGTGCTGACCTAAAATGGCCTAGAAACCTCCTTGGTGGCCTCAAACTTATTTTTTCAAACTCAGCATGTTAAAAGCTTCAATATGAGCCTAAACACGACTATAATCTAGTAACTCGGAAAATTTTGAAAAATTAGATCATAATCGGAAAGGTCTGGAGCTCGTCCGAAAATCGATATTTTCGAAAAAATGAACAAGTTCCTAATTTGGCTTGCCAAGAGCTTCAAAATGAGTATAAACACGACTAGGCTCCGCCCACTTTTGTTTTTCGGGCGCGTTGCGGTCGTGCGTCGCGTGTCTAGGTGAAATTTCAAAATGGGCAGAGCCTAGTCGTGTTTAGGCTCATTTTGAAGCGCTAAACGTAACAAACACATTGGAATAAGAGCCAACAACACAAATGCAAAACCTAGGCCGCCAGGTGCAAAAGTTGAATTTTTGAAAAATAAGAATCAAAGTTTGAAACACATGTAACTTGCCTGAAATTCGATATTTTTAGAAAAATGCTAACAGTTTTCAGTTTCTCTTGTCTAGAGCTTCAAAATGAGTATAAACACGGGTAGACTCCGCTCACTTTGAAATTTCACCTAGACACACGCGACGCACGACCGAGACGCACCCAAAAAA